ATTTAAAAATATATATATCCCCCCACCCGCTCAGGCAGCACCCCCCCAAAGCAGTAAACCTAGGGGAAACACTGCATGTTGTCTCTAAAGTTCTCTGCTTCTGACATCTCTAGTCTTCTTGGGTTTTCTTATGGAAGAAATATTTAAATAATCTGCCTGGAGGACAGTTTTGTGATAAGCATGCAGAATAGCTGCCCCATCTGAATATTGGAAATGTATAATTTGAGCTCTCTATAGTGACTGGAACAATAAGGATGAATCCTGCTTCCAGTACACATTGTACATCAAACCCCCTGCACTGCGGTGGAGGGTGTGTTTGTGGAGACATCTCTTCCTGTGATTATGTGATGATTATGTGATGATTATGTGACGGGATGTAGAATTGTTGTTACTGATAACATGGCTATTGGTGCACCTTTGTGTTGCTAGCTGGGATCAGCTGATATGAGTCTGTTGTTTTTTTCAGCAGTACTTTAATTAATTAATATCATGCAATAGCTTTTCGACGGCTCAGCCTAAGGTCTCAGCCTCTCGTTCGCACGAGAAAGTTACCGGTGCGCCAAGTAGGAAGAGGAGCGCACAGGAGACAACCGTTTCATTGCAGACTGTTATGTTTATGTGGGGAAATGGCAGTGCATACATTATTTGAGATATATTTCAAACTCGTACTTCATTTTATGATTCTGTTTTCTTCAAGTTTGTATGTTCCTGGTCGAATGCACTTATTGTAAGTCGCTTTGGATAAAAGCGTCAGCTAAATGCAATGTAATGTAATAATGTAATTTAATTTTAAGGACATGTCGGCCAAGGTTGTAGAGCTATTTGTTTAAGCACCGGATTGGCAAACCAGGATAGTCTGTAAACCAGTCTGCCTTGATCTATGAATTCATGTCCGGGACTCTCACAGTATCTGCTGCCCACAGCTGTTTTATAGAAGGAAAACCTCCTTCACTTCATGAAATGGCTGCAGCATCAGGAGGCAGCGGGACGTGTAACTCCGCCTCTGAGAAGTGCTGCACCAGCGCGCCGAGAGCTGTGGCTTTTTACGCACAGCCTTCACTGTGTTTACCTTCATCAGAACAGCTTAAGAGGGACTGCAGGCTGCTACGTGTTAACACACACACACACACACACACACACACACACACACACACACACACACACACACACACACACACACACACACACACACACACACACACACACACACACACACACTCTCTCTCTCTCACACACACACACAGACAAAACACTCTCTCTCTCTCACACACACACACACACACACACTCTATCTCTCTCTCACACATACACCCACCCCCTCTCTCTCACACACACACACACACACACACACACACACACACTCACTCACTCACTCACTCACTCACTCACTCACTCACTCACTCACTCACTCACTCACTCACTCACTCACTCACTCACTCACTCACTCACTCAGGCGGCCGGACATCTCCTTCATAATGCGCCATCTCCTCGTTTTCCCAGCATTCACTGGATTATCCTTAAATCATACAAAAAACAAAACTAAAATGTTGATTTATCTGTTTTCCCGTTTTGGTTTAAAAACTGAATAACGTCGTTTTTTTGGTTTTCCATTTTTCTGTTTTGCCGAAAAACAAAAAAACGACACCGGTAATATGTTTTGGATGCATATAGTTATAGTATTTGTTCAGGCTGTTACATACAATTAGCCTCTGTTGCTACCTGCTGGTGAGTAAATATTGACAACTGGTCCGCAATATATTTTTTTAATGTATCTGCCGGTCCTTGGCACAATAAAGGTTGGGAACCCCTGCCTTAATGGATGTGCCAAAATACAAATCTTGATTTTATTTAAAAGAAAAAAAATGACATTGACAAAATATTTTAATGCAGTAAAACAGATTTGGTTATTGGCAAGCTGTATTTGCACAAACTAAAACTATCAAAAATATTGGCACCAGGCTTATTTGAAAATGCTGAAAGATTTATTTCTGACTCTTCTTTTTTTTGAGGAACAATTTGGCAACATAGCAATGAGATATTGGACAGCTATTGTACCATAAGGAAGTAACAACTGCTAGCTTCATAATGTTAAACTGGAGTGAGAGGTCTGGATGCCAAAGAAAAAAAGACTGAACGGACAGGATTAGTTAAATTGCAGGTGCTGCGTGCAGGCTGTATTCCTACTCTTTGTTTCCTTCAGCTAAGCAAAAACCATCATTTCATCTTCCTCCTACCTTTCCTGGGGGCTGAGAGACCCTGAGCACAAAGATGCTGTCATTTCCCCAGTGAGCCACTTTGTGCTCAGCTTGCCACAATGAGCTCATACTCTATTACTTATTCATAGACAGCGTCACACAGGCTGACGCAACCAGACACACAGCCGGCTGAAAGGAGTTGGACAGGCATGTTTGCAGGCCAGGCTTGCAACAGAAGGGCTGCTGGGTATTTTTGCAGATGCAACTAGACTGGCAGGATGCAAAGGATAAAGACCAAACAAAAAACAGGCATCCAGATACGTTCCTTGGTTCTTGGCTGCATCCTTACGAGCTAAATATTTGTGGTCGAACAGCAACATATGCTTGAAATTGGCTGCTAAACACTTGGCTCTAGTTTGCACCACTGAGATATTTTGCAACTTCTTTCCTGCTGATAAAAACTGGCGTCAGGCCTAGGAGAGACCATTGGCTGCTGTTTACTCTGCCGGTCCATGTTTCACCCCCGACACTGGTTTGTTTTAACATGCTGGGGCCCTTTTGTTTTTCTCAGTGGCTTCATTTTGTCAGCCTTTTCTTTGATTGATGGCTCCTTTTCGACTGCAGGCGTTCTCTTGCTTTCAGTTTTTGAATCAGAAGAATGTTCTCCAGATCACATTGGAAATATTATCCCAGGCTTTTGTTGGACCTCAATGTGCATTGGCTACATAAACAGAGGAAACATGAGACAGCTTCATTCATGCAGCCTGACATGATGTTGCTCTAATTCTATTTGGAAGAAGGTTATTGTGTTCAATTGGTGTGTATGATATGGTAAATTATTTTACATTGATCCAACAAATTGAACTGTGTATGGATTCAGTGTGTTGCTCAAGGACACTTCAGCAGAGCAAATGCTAGACATGGGATCAAACCCAAAAGTCCCAAGAGTCTTGTCTGTGCACCTTTCAAATGTTACAGGTTAGTTTCTCAACACACACTCTCCGAAAACACAAGTGACTAAAGACTAGGGCTGCTCGATTATGGCAAAAATCATAACCTTGATTATTTGGGTAAATCATTAATATCACAATTATTAAAAACGATTATCCATGAAAACATCAACAACAAAAAATCGTTTTATTTAGATTATGTTGTTTTCAAAATCGTAATTGCGATTAAAATACGATTAATTGAGCAGCCCTACTAAAGACACATTGCAACATGGCTGCCCTTCTGTCTTTTTGTATTTGAAGAAAATGATGACTGAGCCGACAAGGAGGTCAGCTGTCTCCTATTTCCCATGGCGACCCTTATTTGCTCCAGTCCCGGTCTTGGTTTGTGTTGACACAAAAATAGAAAGATGCAGAGAAGTATAAAGAGTGGTAGGTGGGGCAGCACACTTAACACAGATTGTTGTTACAGTAGAGCCACTTGTGAATCTATATGTGACACAATGCTGACTACGATTGTTTTTAGTGTTGTCATTTCTTGATTGTTTCTGAAAGTGTTGTTGTCTCTTTGTGTGCATTAGTGACATTTAGATCAGTATGGACCTTTACCTGGAAACTCTTATGTCCAGTTTGGATGGAGAGTTCAGGGTTAAAAGGCCAAAAAGAACCACCTGAGCCTTTCTTGTTGCCACCATTGTGGTGCACTTAAACAAAGCACTTAAAGGACCCACAAAACACCCCAATGGGAAACGGATAAGTGTTTGTGCTGGGTGTGAGTGAGTGCGGAGCAGTGATAAAACAATACATTTGTGTGTGTGGTGGATGCTTCTCTGAATTAATTCAAACAAAGCATCATCCAGGCACTGAACATGAGCTGTCAAATCCTCCCTAGGATGGAGAGAACATGCACATATAAATATTGTAAAATTACTCATCTTAAATTGGTCATTTCTCGCATTATGAAGGTCATGGCTGCATGGTGGGAAAAGGGTGGGGATTGTTTATTGTGTGTTCAAATAGACATCTGATAACAAAGCTGCTATAATCCCTGTGTGTGTTCAGGGGCTGTAAATGATGATTTTTCCACTTGAGCAGAGCCATTGTTGCCAGTCTAACAATCCTGAAGACACACACGCAGTAATGTCTTGTAGACGTCACGTGAACATAACCATATTGTGATTGGATCATTCTATCAATTCTCATATTTATAATAGCGTTGGCTCTTTGTAATGTTTATAAAGCATGAACTGAATCTGCACATGGATCTATCATAATATGTTCTGGATCACTTTTAGTGTGTGTGTGTGTGTGTGTGTGTGTGTGTGTGTGTGTGTGTGTGTGTGTGTGTGTGTGTGTGTGTGTGTGTGTGTGTGTGTGTGTGTGTGTGTGTGTGTGTGTGTGTGTGTGTGTGTTCCCTGACAAATTGAACACTAACTGCTGAGTCACTGGCAGCAGGACATGTGTGTTTTATTTGTATAAACAGGAACAGGCTTATACAAGCATTCAGACAGCTTTGTCATGTAACCCCAAATGTTAACCCTAATGTCGGACAAAAGAAAGTTTTTCCTTCAACTCGCTTTTTATTTGTATTTTATTGTTTATCTAATGATTCTTCTCTGTGTTTTGGTTGCAGAAAATGTTTGAAAAATGTTGTCAATTGTTTTGTAAAAGTACATTTCTCTCCCTTTCTCCTCCCTCCCTTCTTTCTTCTTCAGGACCAGTTTGATAATCTGGACAAACACACCCAGTGGGGCATCGACTTTATTGAACGCTATGCAAAGTTTGTCAAGGAGAGGCTGGACATAGAGCAGACCTATGCCAAGCAGCTAAGGTACACACACACACACACACACACGCACACGCACGCACGCACGCACACCTACATTCACACAAAAGGCGTTTATAGTTCAGCTAAGAGACTAACTCAATTTTTTCACTGTCTTCTTCAAAAAAAGCAAGAATTCTTAGATCCAAGGATCTCTAGTATCCCGTCTGATATTCATATTTTATTGCTTCACATTTTAATATCCTTTTCTGTTTAACCAAAATGTAATTGCAGATAAGCTTTACATTTACCCAACATAGCCTGCATCACACTTTTACAAAAAACTGTCTATATTTCTTGTTTATAAGGATTTATGATGTGCTGTGATCAGTCATCTCAATATTTTATCATTTCAATCCCTATGTAAGATGCATATATGCTCATATTCATGTTCAAATGTGTATTTTGTGCCTCTGACATGTTTACATTCTTAAATGTTCAACAAGCTCTTTATGTTTCTCACACTGCCTGTGCTGCAGCACCTCTTTTCACCCTCTGTCTGAAACCAGAGCCCAGTCTGCTCTGATTGTGTGATCGCTCAACTGCTCAGAGATGTCCCACCCCGTAGTCTATNCGCACACACAGCACGGCTCAATTTTCAAACGGCCACCCACACACACACACACACACACACACACACACACACACTTCCACTCTGCTTGTCTGAAGTATGATCAAAGATGGAGCTCTGTGTGAGGGGATATTTACAGAACATGTATTGCAGGAAGACCCCGTTCTTTGTTGCTGAAAATACACACTCACACACATGCTCACACACACAAACACACAGATTCCTCTGCTCTCTAGTTAAATCACTTTCTGACTGGTGTACTGTCAGAGCCTGAGGGAGTGGACAGGCTGAGGCTCTGATGTTCAAATTCATCTTTAATAAAATACTCAGATCCTGAGTGTGTGTGACTGTGTATGAGAGACTGTGTGTGTCTGACTCTTGTCTATTTACCTGTTTCCCTACCAGGCTTAAAATATCAGACAGTATTTGTAACTTCCTGTGTCTGCTTCTCTCTCTCCCATCAGGAACTTGGTGAAGAAATACTGTCCTAAACGCTCTAAAGAAGAGGAGCCGAGGTGAGTAAAATTAGATAATTTGTTATGTCTATTACTTTTATTCATCATTCCAAAACACCTTTTTATTTGACTGTATTGAACATATGATGTATATAATGTGGCAGATCCACGTACCTGCCATCACTCTGAAACAGTTGTGCCATGTGACTCTTGACACACACTCTTAGTTTTCCTTTCTTGTGTTACCACATAGTTTTACACCCTCAAGTGATTCCTCAAGCAGCCACAATAAAGAACCAATGTTGAGGATGCAGCAAGAACTAAGCATTTTTGGTAGAAATGTCAAATGTAGATACATTAACAATTGTATTCCTACTGAATATTTTTGTTTGTGGTGAAAAACACATACACAAACTTCAAAAGTTGAGCTTACAAGGGTCTCCAAATGATATGTGGGTAGTGATATGATTCAGAATGATTCTCGATTAAATAAATAGGAAAACAGTTTCTTTCTTCAGTGCCAAACCATTCCTTCAATTTCCCAAGCAATACTCCATTTCATTCACTTAAAGGTCCCATGTCATGGCCCTTTCTACTGATCATAATTCCATTGTTGAGGTCTACTAAAATAGATTTATATTGTGCAATTTTCCAAAATCACATTGGTTTCTCATACAGCATCTCTGTATAGTATGTGTATTCACTCTCTGTCCTAAACGGACTTGTTGGGGCACACACACACACACACACACCCCCCTATGAGCCCAGTGGCCGTCTGCGAGACAGCGAGACACAGCGAAACCCAGTCCGAAACCAGCCCAACACATACCTGCAGCCTGGCTGGGAGTTTGTGTGTGTGCTCACACACCGACTCACAGCCTCGCTGCATCCCGCCGTCTCAGGGAGGAGAAATCGGCGGAGCTGCAGCTGAGAAAAGATTGAGTGTGTGTGTGTGTGTGTGTGTGAGTTAACCTAACGGCTCCACGGACGTAACGTAACGGCTCCACGGATTTGTCCATTTGGACCAATGGGTCCATTTGGGTATGGGCACGTCACAGAACCCAGGAAGAAAACAATGGAAAAAGAGAAATCTCCAACGAGGCGTTCTGGGGCAGCATAGACAGGTCTTCTCTGTGTTGGGGTCTTACTCGCTACAGAGTGTACTTTGAGGGTTTGTGACTCTGCAGACCGTTTACATGCAGAAAAACCTTCATAACACACAAGGGGACGGTTAATAACCGGAAAAGCATGACATGGGACCTTTAAGTCTCAAGAGGTACGTACGGGAGATCCAATGCAATAATATAACATATCACACTGCATACACTACACGTATCATACATTAGATGCTATTAATAAGTAATGATCATTTAGGCTCTGGGTTCTCTTCCGCTCTTAACGGACAGCAGATGCAGATGTCTCTGTGAACAGATCAAAAAGAGGAAGCCTGTTTCTTTTGCAGTGGTAATCACTTGTTTGATGTGTGTCTGTTGTGCAGGTTCACATCATGTCTGTCTTTCTACTCCGTACTGAATGAACTCAACGACTACGCCGGGCAGAGGGAGGTGGTTGCCGAGGAGATGTCTCACAAGGTGTACGGAGAGCTGATGAGGTACAGCCAAGACTTCAAAGCTGAGAGGAAGCATGTAAGTTCACTAACAAGTCCATACGTCACTGCACTCTGTATACAATTGCAAAAAAGTTGCAAAAGTGTATCAATCCATAATCAAGACCACGTTTCCCAGAGAACCTGCTGCTTTCTGTCATGAAACGGATGTTGCTGTTTGCCCTTTATATCCTGTGTGTCGCCTCATATTCACTTATTTTCTGTTTGGCTTCCCTCAAGGGGATGCATATGTTGGATGTGATGTTAACCATCTGTCTTTTACTTCTTCCCCCATCTGCTGAGGCCACAGGCCCCAAACATTTGTCCTCCATGTGTTTAGGAAGAACAGTGCCCCCTTCTTGTTTAGTGATGATCAGCACCAGATAAATCCATACACTATAAGGCACAGTGCACTTTCTATATTATTGATGTCTTGTAATTTATTGACAGTGTGTCATTTTAGTTAATGGCAACTTGAAGAAACACATTTATTTAATATTTGTATAATAATGTCATTGGAACTGAGTCAGGATTTTACCCATAACAAGAAATCTGCTTCACACAGAGAAATATTACACTGTTTTTTTAATTTTTTTATTGTTTTGAGTTAGATTTTTTTTAAGTAGGTAACATCTCTTCAGAATTGTAGGTTTACACATACGACAAATTATCTTTGTTATATGTCATGCATACAAAGATACAGAACTAAAATATAAACACTACTTTTTCAACAGCTATTTAAAAAGACAATATTTTCACAAAATATAATTATGTGAGAAAATGAGTACAGTGAAAAATAATTACTATATACTTTATTCAAAGTGGATAGCTGTGCTGATTTAAAAGAGGTAGTGTGTACAGAATGTATTCTTATGTAGAGTTAGTGAATGTTTCATGCTTATCATGGTTATCAAACCCTCCACATACTGTATAAAAAAATGTATTCAGAGATTTTAAGCAAAACTAGTGGTGGAGGCCATGACACGTATACAGACAAAAATGATACAGAATTGAAATATAAGAAAGAAGGTAAATATTTGTATGTCATGATACACATTTAGAAATCTGACCTTGAAAACCATAGTTTCTAAAAACATCCCAACTCTAGGTCTACTGACCGGCACCGCACAGTAGCTGTTATGATTTCATCCTCAGCACTTGAAAGATTTCTCCTCAGCGTTGGCCTATAAGTGAAGCAAATTGTTGGTTTGACAAAACAGTCCCAAGCCAAGGTCCGCTACAGGCCTCTTCTGCACTCATTACCTCATAATGTGGTCGTCGTCAGCGCATGTCAACACATCCATCTCCATGGCTACTCTGTAAAACTATCTGCCCTCAGGAACACTTAATGAGTAGACCTTGAGCTGGGATGGTTTTGCCAAATTATGAATATATTTGAATCAGACATGTGGTCTAAAGTGTCCTACCATTATGCTCTAACGATGAATGGAGCATTGTCTTAATGATGTAATGTGTAACTAATTTGTAGGTAAGTCTGAATTTGTTCTTTCACTGCTTTACTCACTGGACTCTTGTAAACTTGGCCCTTTTTGTTTCCAGAGGATTGTATTTATGTACGTAACAGTGATACAAAGTCAAGTTATGTTGTGTGTGTGCATATGAATGTGTTCTATGAGCTCTATTTATGTGTTTTTTCCTGTGTAAATGTGTCTCGTTTCTGTGTGTGTGTTTGTGTGTGTATATGAGCAGCATCTACAGGAGGGCAGGAAGGCCCAGCAGCATTTGGATCATTGCTGGAAACAGATGGACAATGTGAGTGGGGAGGGAGGGCTCAAGAAGGGGGGAATGCAGAGAAAAAGTGTTTAGTGTAAATATCCTCTGTTAGGGACAGCCAGCTGGACTCATACTTGGTGCGCAAGGAATGCAAGAAATGCAAACAAAGGTGTACTTTAGGACAAATAGGGGTTGCACTTTTTCCCCGTTTAATTCCGCACATGCCGTTATTTAATGAAGAGACTAGCACGTCATGTGTGGTAATTGTATGCCATTTATATCAAGATAAGTAATATAGGCTCCCCTGTAATGTTAGTCCCAAATTTAATAGAAATATGAAAACATTCGCTTCTGGCTGAGAAAAGACAGCAGTGACCTATTCTTCTTTCTGGCAATCCTCCCAGGACAAGGAGACACACAGACCTCAGTGTACACCAGCCCATGTGTCACATTTGGCCCTCGACAACGGTCTTTTTGGCTCGTAAAAAGACAACTTATATTCCATTTGTTCACTTCTTAGGTCATTTTAATGCGTTTGCAAAAAACGTTTTATTACAATCGGCTCATTACAACATTTATAATGAACCTCCACGATTCCTAAAGTGCTAAAAATCCAATTCCTGCGTATTACATGTATAAAAGATGCATGTCCACTCACATTTCATAGGTCTGAGTTACTTCACACTGGCACATGTTCAGTGTGTGGTCTCAATGGTGACTACTTGGTGACTGGACTGTAATGTCTCAGCTATTCTCTGTTTCCTTCACTACTAATGTGACCCAGATGGGCTGGCAGGAAGTAAACTATCTCCCTGCCTGATTCATCTCCCTCTTGGCTTTTGTTCTGAACACTCATTCACATTTATTTATTTGTATTCACTGAAGACTCTTTGAAAATGTGTTTCTTGATGTATGAACTTTCCTTTTCTGTTTTTGTTTCTCTCTTTTAGAGTAAAAGGAAGTTTGAGAGGGAGTGTAAAGAAGCAGAGAAATCCCAGATTACCTATGATCGGTTAGATAATGACATCAACGCCACTAAATCTGAGGTGGAGAAGGTAGGAAGCTCTGCCTGAAACACAACTGCTAAAAAGAACTTGTTCGACTGAGAACTAACTTCTCCTCTCTTTATTATCACTGGAAACACCAGCATGTTTACTCTCATCTTATAGCGGGCACGAGGCCAAAGACGGTACATTATTGGACACGAGCAGTTCAGTAAAACAATCCACATTTCAAGACCAATGACTCCCTTTTACAACCCTTTATACCTAGTATTTTGCTTTTCTCAAAGTTAGTATTGTATAATTTATGCTTTTTAAAGTAAATTATACTCTAGCTCCCTTTTTCCTGCACACTTACTGTATAATTAGACTAGGTGGATTAAGTTTAAGCTTGGAGGAAAATAAACCTTTCCAAATGGAGGTTAAAGCATAGCCCAGTCAGCCTTATTTTCTACATGAGGTACTGTTTCATTACAGTTTTTTACAGAATAACTCTGGAAATAAGGATGATGGATTCAAATGTCAAGTCAAATTTCAAATTAGACGGTTACAAATTAGCTTTAGGTGGCTTTATCCTTGCTTAAGAAATACAATATATTAGCAGTGGGGTAATATTTTGGATTTGTTCCGTTAAAACCATGTGACCATGCTATGAAAACATGTCTCACAATCCTTTAATAGGGGACAATGCAAAATGTTTTTCCCTTCGTATCATTATTATGCCTGTCATTTGCTAGCATGGTAATGTTGACCAAACGAGAGGTTGTTGATGCTCCAGCTAACTTGGTTCTCATGTTTAATGTCACGGTTCAGGCCAAAGCCCAGTTCTACCTGCGCACCCACATGGCCGACGAGAGTAAGAACGAGTACGCCGCTCAGCTACAGAACTTCAACGGAGAGCAGTGGAAAAATTTCAACAATGCCATACCACACATCTTCAAGGTAAAGCTTCTCCTAGGGGTTTGAATTACAGTAATAACCACTTTTTTTTAAACTTCGAATTGAATTCATTTCAGTGAGTGAAATTAAGTAGCTGTTCAACAGTATGGGATTTTTCTCTTAACAACTGGAGTAATAATCTTTTAGATATTCTTTAAGAGTGGATTGTGATGTAATATATATATGTTTGGCCTTTCTTGGATATTATCTTATTTATCTAAAGAGCCCCAGCAGAATAAAACATTGTAAAATGTTACGCATAGCAGCTTGTCTCATGTAAGCCATCTCAAATATACTGACTAGGTATGAATGGTGCCCAGGAAAAGGATCTGCTAACTCTGACAGGATGTTTACGGCTAATAAGCCTGTAGAAGTGTTTCTATGAGCACTTTGTTAATAGTGTTTATTCTATTTCCGCTTCTTGTTACAGAATCTGCAGGACATGGACGAACGTCGGACGGTAAAGCTCGGTGAGACGTACCGGAGCTTTGCCGAGGCGGAGCGCAGAGTCATTCCCATCGTCTCCAAATGTCTAGAAGGGATGGTTTCTGCTGCCAAAGCTGTCGATAGCCGAAAGGTATGTAGCAGAGCGAAGGGTGTTAGAAAGGAAGAGAAAAACAGTAAACCCGAACATATTTTGACTTGGTATTTCCTCCCTTTTCGTTTCACACCATTCATATATTTATTTCCTCCTCTTCCCAGGATTCAATAATTGTGGTGGAGTCGTTTAAATCGGGCTTCGACCCTCCAGGCGACTTCCCCTTCGAGGACTTCAGTCAGCATCTGAGCAGGTCAGGTTCAGATGGGACCATCAGCAGCACACCCAAAGTAGAGAGAGAACGAGAGGCCCCGGCGCCACGGTCCGACCCTAAACACCCCATGAGCAAAACCAAGAACAAGCTGTGGCTGTTTGGGAAGAAACCAAAGGTATGAGGAGTGAGGGGTGAGGGGTGTATGTGTTGTTGCCTTTTTAATGTAATGAATCAAGTGCTAAATAATAAATTATAAAAATGACTTTAAAGTAAACACTAATGCTTCAATATTAAGGCCACCACATTATGTCTCAGCATATATCTCACATAAAAAATATATATAAAAACGCCAAAATAAAAGAATAATTAGGTATTACTATTATTATTATTATTATTATTAAGATGTTTCAAATTGAGGAACACACCTCCATACTAGTGACGTAATTGACCATAGTCCACTGTGTTTCTAAATACAACGACAAAAGGACAGATCATGAAACAGGGGAAATTCCCTTTTGGAGTTATTCTCTTGTGGCCTAATTATTTGTTTTAATGTTTTTAGAAACCTTTTCTCAGCATAAGATATAAGACAGAAATGAAAAGACATCCATTTATTACAAATGTGCTTATATAAACACAAGAAAGGGCAACCTCTTCTGGGGAGCTATTAACATTTCTTTATTTTAAATATTTTATTTGCAATACGTTCAAACTTGAACTGTTCTCATACATTATATGTTCTTCAAAGTATGGACACTAACTCGTTGTTGTTGTATGATGTACAGAGACATAGAAGTCAAAGATAGTGCCTTAAGAATTTATATTTATTTAACAGTGAGTGAGTTTACTTTTTTTCATTCAGCTGGTTGGCAATTCACTTTTCAGTTGTGTACTTTAAAGTTCACCATTTTGTCTTCCTCACAGACTCATTATAATCTGCAGTTAACATTCCAACCATGCAGCAAAACCTGTTCTTTATCAGTCACTTCCTGAAAACCCATGTGTTGTAACTTTCTCTGCTCCTCAGATGTATCTCCAGTCGTAGGTTATTGTCACCTTTCCAATATTTGTAACCCATTCAAATAGATTCTGTGATACACTGCTTGAACCTTGCCCCTCTCATAAAGAGCATGTTGGTTAATCATTAACCGGGCTTTTGGTCTATGTTAGCGTCATCAGCTGGAACATGTGTCATGCATAGGGTGTTTGTTTGTGTATAGTTTAATTGTTTAACACACTGCTCTTAATTTCACACAAACCAATGATCCCTCCCAGGCCTGGATGATGAGTCAGTCTTCATCAGAGAAAGTCACACACCAGTCATGCTTATGACAGATCCATGACTTGTTGTGAATCCTGTGAATAATATACCGAAAGGCTCTCGTGATAAAGAGTGTCGTTCTGACCTCTGGTTTTTTTCTCTCCTCCTGCTCCCCACCAGTCTCCTTCCTCCTCTCCCCCTTCACCACCTTCGTCTTCCCGTTCCCGGTTCAGCACTGACTTAGTGAGCCACTATCTCTCTGAGATAAAGACTACACCCAGAAAGCCTCAGAATTTGAAAGGCCTGAGACGAGGGGTGAGACAGGAGGTAGTGTGTTTGATTGACAAGTGATTTATGTTTTCTGAATGTCTTCTGCAGGATGTCGGCAGGTTCTAGAAAATATATAGTGTTCAATTAAACATAAAGAAGCAATCAATGGCTTTAAATATATAATTGAATCTTAAACTTGGTTTAAGATGTAAGACATTTTAACCCTTAAACTGGGTTTAAGGTTTAAAATGGCTTTAATTGTAACTTGAAGAAACTGGCAGACACTTCCTTCCTCTCCTTTCCTTTCTTATTGGCTCTTTTTATTTATTTGTGTATGATGTGGATCTGGTGTTTGGGAATAGGCATGTGTATATTGGAGGGGTTTGGGCATTCTGGTTGCAGTGCTGTGTGGGGAAAACAAGCGTTTTCAACATCAGGTGTGTTGCTCTGATGTTGGCAGTTTGCAGTGGTGTGTTTGTGTGTTTTGGAGTGGCTCCGCTTACAGTGTCAGTGTGCTCTGAAGCAGAGCTTTCTGTTGCACACAGTTTAACAGAACAGTTGACAAACCTCTTCAGTCAGGACTGTCGTGGATAGCTCTTCCATATGGTCAAATAAAATGGCCATCAGAAGAACCAATCTTACCGTTTGTTTGACGACTGACGTGAAACCCTCATTGTAATATTATCCCGGTTGGAGAGATGTGTTCCAGATGGAAAGAAGTAGAGGATGTTGATGCATTTTCTAGGAATTCAGTTACAAATGACCTGTGAAGATTTATTGGAAACACACATGAGTTACCTTTACATAAATGTTCTCCAATTAAAATGTAACACCTATACCTTTGAGGTATATCAATCATAACAAAAATAAAAGCAGTTATTAAAAGACCACATTAAAGTGGATCAAATATAAACATGCGGCCTCCCTCCACAAGATAATCTGGTTTTAATAAATGCAGGAAATAAAATCAGAAATGAATAATTGTGTAGTATAAATATTCAAAAGTTAATGTACATTAAACTCTTATTTAATATATATGAACTGTGTAATATACATGAGCTATGTGAAATATTCACACTAACCTCCTGTGCAGTGATTTACATCTGATATGTGTTGCAAGTTCCATCTCTGAAACTGTGTAGTGATCTGAGCATCTGGTTTTCATGCTGACCCACTGGCTTGATAGTGGCTGCTTTACATACTGACCACTAACCAGCATCCCATGTTGTTTGTCTCTCTTTATTGTAACGGTTAATGCGCCAGTGGTCAATCAAGATGGTAAGTGTGTGAGTGTGTGTATAGAGTAGAATGTATCCTCACCATGTAGGACTTTCCTTCGTGCCCAATATATAAACCCAGTAGTGATAGTAAAGTCTCCTCTCCTAGTGAAAATAGATTTACTGCCTTCTGACATATAATATTATAATGCACTTACTAAAGCTTCATCACACCCACTAAAATAGAACTAGAGTTCCCCATTGGAAGTCTATTTACCGTATGGTATTGTCCCCTCCTACTGTATATTATACATGGTAAGTACTGACAAATGGTAAGTACAGATAGGATATTCAGTCAATTCAGAATCAACTTTTTTTTTTAAAGCAGAACCATGGGGAAAAAAATAATATGCCAATATTAGTTATTATTTAGCCCAAGGTATGGATTAAAAATAAGATGCATCATACATCACCAACCATAGCATCTCTTTAGATGTTTGTTGCATCAGTCAGTTTAAAAAACAAAATTGGAGATTAATTTTTTCAGTCGAGCATTTCCAACAGACCTCTTCACACCTCAGAGAAAGTTAATTGACACATTTTCCCTCCAGTCAGGATAAACTCTGAGTTAGTAGTTTTGTTTTGTTTTCATCTCCAGGCCCCATCTCTGGAGGATTACAGCCACTTACCGCCCGAGCAGAGGAGGAAGAGGCTGCAGCAGAGGATCGACGAGCTCGGAAAAGAGCTCCAGAAAGAGATAGATCAGAGGTTGGCCTTCACCCATAATGCCTTGCCCAGTCCAAATCATCACCACATGTGACCAAAAGGGCCTTAACATGGTTCTGCTTACGTTGTTACTCATGACCTGTGACCTGCTTATTATCATTAGTCCATCACCAACACCAAAGCATGTCTGTCTTTCAGAGATGCCCTGAACAAGATGAAGGATGTGTATGAGAAGAATCCACAGATGGGAGACCCCATCAGCCTGCAGCCCAAAATATCAGAGACTATGTGTAACATGGAGAAGCTGCGCTCAGAACTCCACAAAAACGAGGTAAAAAAGGAAGGTTTAGCTTGAAATAGGGCCAAAACATACACAACTGTAAAACCCAAGAAAAAGAAAGACAGATTACAGGTGAAAGGTTTCAGCTGAGTATTTGTTCAGGTCTTACAGTTGGTCATAATGTGATACTATGTAGATGAGGATGGTATTAGAATAGACGTGTCATATTGACTGAAACCTTCTCTCTCTCTCTTTGTTGACAGACTTGGTTATCGGAGGTGGAGGGGAAGCAGAGCTCCAGAGGAGACAGACGACACAGCGCCGACAACCACCATCACACTCCTCAAGGCAGAGAGAGGTACACACTATATACACACTGACAGACAGAGGGAGCAAGAGGATCAAATATTAAGCTTTTGGTATTCATTAATGACATGTATAGAGTCAGTGATGTCCTTTTTCACAACATTCATATTCATTTCAAAGTCATTCAGTTTAGTAAGTAGTCTTTATTTCCCACCTTTAACGTTTGCTTGTGTAGTTGGCTATTTGTGTTCATTATTTACTTTTGAATAATTTCCTCGGAAGTAGTGAACAATGTCATCTTGTACTGATAATAGAGGAAATAAAGGCACGGTCCAGTTGGTATTCCCCCAATTAAGTAACTGAAATGTACGGCTTGTCTAACCTTAAGAGCATAGTGGGTCAGCTTAACATGTGAACTGTCTGCAATTAAACATTTCTATTAAACATGAATGAAGAATGAATTAAATAGTTACTTGGGTTTAAAATAAAAAATAATCTCCTTTTAATTAGTTCTAAACTAGATAGTTAATTGCCGACAAATTCCTTGGGCATTATAATCAGAAAAAAAAAATCAGAAAATGTCAATTTTACCTTTTTTAAATCATAATTCTTGTTAAAACATAAACAATGTCCCAAACAATATGAAGGCAGGAGCTCTGTTATTTTTTTTATAGACTCATTAGACCCGCTGGTCAATCTCTAATATTCCTGCTTAGATTACATTTTCTTCATACGAATAATATTGAGTCTGCTGTTTATATATAATCAAGGAGCAGTGATGTATTTAAATGAATGCAAACGCAACCTCATTCCGCTGCCTTTCTCCCTTCAGTCCTGAGGGCAGTTACACAGACGACACCACGCAGGAGCATCAGACGCCTCAGAAGCGCACGACCCCTCCAAAGCCCGGGCAACCCAACCCCGACCCGCACGAGTTTGACGACGAATTTGACGACGACGACCCGCTGCCGGTCATCGGACACTGCAAAGCGCTCTACTCCTTCGATGGTAATGACAAACACCATAAAGTGTTACAAATGTTCTCAGTGTTGTTCTCAAAGGGAAGTGACTCTGCTTTTATTATCTAACCTTAGTGTGTTTAATGCGATTATGTTTTGTCTGACTCTTAGGTCAGAACGAGGGGACACTGGTGATGGCAGACGACGAGGTAATGCTTTCTTTTAAGGTTATAAATATATTTGTGGGTAATCCCAAACCAGCATTTAACTGTTCCTATGAACAAGTATTTGTTGTCTTAAATGAACAAACACACTATAGTTCATTTTGAATCATTCCCACTACCACTGTCCTGCTGCTGTAAAGTCATTGGAGCACCATATGTAGATTAATCCACCGATCACCATTTCCTTCTGTTTAAGTCATGTTATTTTTCACCATTATAGTTTGCTTTTTAAAGCCCGAATGTAACATTTCAAAGTATTGGACTTTGGCGACTCTTAGTGGTACTATAAAAAAATACACTATTGTGATACTAAATGACAAAAATAATTCTCAAAAAACCCATAGTGTTCATGAATCTTCAATGGGTTAGCCTTATTTATTTCCAACCAATAGTGTGGGCCAGTCATTTAAGAGACGTATCTTTGCCGCTGCAGGTGTTGTACATCATCGAGGAGGACAAAGGCGACGGCTGGACGAGGGCGAGGAAGCAGAGCGGCGAGGAGGGCTACGTCCCAACCTCCTACGTAGAAATCACCATGGAGAAAAACAGCAAAGGTGCTGTCACCTACATCTGAGTCTAACACTGTGTTCTCATCCTGTCTGTCGTCCTCTCCATCCTCCCCGTTTTCTCTTTCTCAAAATAACACTACAACAAGGAAACAAAGACAGCATCTCCACATCTGCATGGACAGTTATCTGTTTTCTGACTTCCATCTCATCTCTCTATCCCCCTGTGTATCCCACTTACTGTAATCATTCGTCCTCCTGTCATATCTGTGGGACTGGTGTATCAGAGGTGAGTGTAAGAGAACAGAGACAAATAGGAAAACCCTTTTTAAATGGTGTGTGTGTGTGTGTGTGTGTGTGTGTGTGTGTGTGTGTGTGTGTGTGTGTGTGTGTGTGTGTGTGTGTGTGTGTGTGTGTGTGTGTGTGTGTGTGTGTGTGTGTGTGTGTGTGTGTTGAGGCCACACCTCTTTTTATCGATCAAAGTTTTTAAGTTGTATGTAATATATTAGAAATGATCTATTTTTAATTATTTTTTAATGTTTCTTTTTTTTTAATGGAGAATTTTAAAACTGATTTTAAGCTCTTTGGATTCATGTGTTCATCTGTGTTTATTTCGGTCTGACTGCAGTGTTGGTAGTGTTGTATCATACCTTGACAGGGGTTTGCCTGATCTAGCATTATTGTCAACAAATCTAATGCAAAACAACTAAACCAACAATGTTATCTATATCTTACAAAACAGGTCCAAAATAGTACATAGTATATTCCATTTACTTTAAAATCCTTAACACTCACTGAAACAGCAAGTCACTGTAGTTCTCTGTGGACATTTATTAAAAATAGTGCATTTCTCAGACTATTTTCAGCTACTAGCAGCACATTTTAGTGCAAGCAATAAACCTGCATTAGACACAGTCACCTGTCAGATAACTTTTACAAGTTGCAGTGCCAAAATATGTAAGGAAAATAAAAAATAAAAAGTTTTAAATCTGGCACGCCATGATGATGATGTGGGAAACAATCTGGCATTAATTTAATATAATTTAGACATTTTATTTAAATACATTTTTAATATGAATACATAATTCACTCATTAACTGACTTAAATGATTAGGTCATACTTGTGTTTTGCCCTGTATAGTAAGTATTATGTACCTTTTTAGTATTTTTGGCAGCACAGAGTAATAAAAGACACATACAGTAGGCTTAATTCATTTGTTAAGCTATAAGAAGAAAATACATTTATAACCAGCCGCATTCTTCTTCTTGTATTTGGTTACATTTGTGCGTGAGAGCGAACTGCAGCACCGGATGTTGTAGTAACTCCCTCTCTCCTCTATGTGACTGCAGGTTCCTGAGGGCTGCAGGGTGGCCGGGCGATTTGATTGGCTGGTGGAGGGCTCACGCTGATTGCTGATTATTGGTGGTGGGGGTGACACAAGAAAAGAGAGAGGTAGAGAGGGAAAGAGATGAAATAAAGACAGGTTGCATGTTGCATGCTCACATATCCATAACCAGCAAAGCATTCTGGGTTACTAGAGGCTGTGATGGCTACCCTCCATCACATCAGGGGGGGGAACATACTGGTGTTCTGCTCCCTGAGGGTTCAAACACTGTTTGACAGCAAATAGAAACCAACTGCTGCTACGGCCTCACTAGTTATGTTGTGTACAGTAAAAATACATGCCTAATTGAAAGATTGAGCTCACGGAGAACAGTATGGTACCAGGACTTCCTCTTATTGGTTGTGGATTTATAATTTAATGACAAAGAGGAACATTTCCAGGAAACGTTTTCTGTGGGCCTTTTGTTGTGGGCGACCATTAACACTTATTTTGCTTGTTTTTGCTTAAACTAATGGGTTCCTTAAATCATTAAAGAGCATTTTGACAAGAGATTCTCATCACAAAAAATAACACGGCAACTTTAATTAATGAAATATGGCCGAAAGCTTCGGAAAGATCTAGTAAGTGAACCTTGTGATGAGCTTTTTTTGGTCAAAGTTCTATTTCCAAAGAATGGACCCTTAACCTCAAAGTAGCTTTGAGCTGTCTCATAACGACATTTTCAAAGTCCCACTTGCCATTTATTCTAAAATGTATTTGTAAAATAATCTTATATTTCCATACTATATTCTCCGAATAGACAAACTGTTCCCCACTACTTTTGGTCCAGCTACTCAAGAGAGGGTATCAGTGAATTCTAAACTCAGACTCTCAGGGTTTGTCACATTTGTTAGGGTCAGTTATGCTTACAGTATTTGCTAACACTAACAATGTCAGTCCTGCACTCATCCCTGTTGTCATCATCTGTGCTCTGTTGGTGATGTTTGCCTGCCCGCCCGCCTGAGCCACTCTGCTCCTCATGCCTGCCCTCACCCTCATACAGCCGCATGTCCTTAACGTGTCCCAAACATGATCACACGTTTCATGTGTGACTTTAACTGCAACTATATGAGTGTGTGTAACTTTGGATGTGAGTTGTGTGTTGAATGCTGCATCATCCCGGTGTATTTTGATGTCCAGCATGAGTATGATTTTGTGCATTTAACGTCATTAAGTTACTCATTAGACAGATAGCAGGCCGATCAGGTGAACACAGGACCTCTCTACCACTCTTTCTTTTCCCATCTTTCCTATCCTTTACTTCCTGGGTTCTACTACCCCCATTTGACCAGCAGATGGAAACCTTTGCTCACAAAACCATGGCTCATCTTAAGTTGAACTGGACCACCTTAAACAACACTAAACATGGAGGAGCACCAATTTTTTTTTGCAGTCAGACTCTGCCTTAAAACTCCATTTTGTTTTACTTTGGATGGATTTTTGGATGTCTCCACTCTTCTGCCTGACCACATCTCCCATCAGCCACCTGGGCTCAGCCTTACCTCCTCGGGGACTCTCAACTGCATCTCCATTATCAAAAAAGTTTTTTCCCATCTTAATTGGTTGTATTTGTGAATGTGACCACAGATGCACACATGTATCAGTGATATGTAAACACCCTATGGAAGGCCAAATGGGCCGAAAACACATGTTGAATTTTGGCACGTTTGGCTTTCCATACTTAATAGTATGTAAGTGTGTCTACATGTGCCTGCGTTACATGTGTGATGTTAGTTTTTACCATTGAATGAATTGTAAATATTAACATCTTTTATGTCATGCTGAATGTTTTTCCATAGTGATTGTTTTTAGGTTTGTTTGACACTCTTCATGACAGACAACAAGGTTTGAATTGAACTGATGCACTTTGCCCTGAAGTACTACAGCATTTGAATCTGATTAAATGAATTAAAGCGAATGAATGAATGAATGAAGGTCTGTGTTGTCTGCTGAGAGGCGTGAACTTAATGAATGACCACTGTATAGCAGCGAGAAACAAAAACGGCTCTAATAATTTCCTCTTCCTGATGGTTTTTATACTCTTTTTGTAACTCTTGACGAGCAATGACCCACCTTTTTTTTTGCATGGTTTTCTAGATTCTTTACATTAATTCTTTGTGTGTTTTGGTGATTGTTTTAACCATTCACTTTCTCAACAAAACACAATTGAGGTTTGACTGTTCTGTTGATGCTATTTAAGACAAAAATGCCACTAATAATTCAGCTGCTTTGTGGTTCTTAACAGCAGGAGGCTCCGTAGTGGTCAGTGTTTCTTCTATGAAGCTGTGAAATGTACAGAATGATGCTGTCGGGGATGTTACTTGAACTTCAGTCACAGTTCTCCAAATGTTCTCTCCTATCCGGGTCCATTTTGCATCGGATAAAAACAATAGAAGTTTGAGAGAAATTAGCTTTCCACAACATAGGACTTTTTACCATTGGAACAGAACCAGGCTAGCTGTTTCTCTCTGCTCCCAGTCTCTATGCTAAGCTAAGCTAACCGACTGCTGGCAGTAGCTTCAGATATACTGTAAAGGTTTGAGAGTGGTGTAGATCTTTTCATCCAACTCTTCACGATAAAAAAACTTTTCCCCCAAAATATCCAACAGTTTTTTTCCCCTCTACTCGATATTTTTTTAGCCTGGGGATGCAAAATGGTGCAAATGAAAATAACCCATTCCTTCACTTTGGTTTGAAATAATGATGCCTTGTAAACGCATACATCGATCTATCAGTGCTTTCAATTTTGTGTACACATCTGTCGTCATGGTTAGTTACATCTGCTAGCCTGCTTGCTTTTCTTTAAAATTAGCTATAACTACATGTGTTTTGCCTTTTTTGAAAACTAAGCCGTGACATAAGATGCGTGCAGTAAAGTGTTGCATATTAGATTTATTTTTGTTCCAATGGCAATACAGTCATAACGTCGAATCACATTTCTATGGTTAAGCAGTCGTGGGTGCAAATAGTTGTTTTAAACTTTTTATTTGCTATTTTTGATTAAGTCTATAAATTGTCAAATGAAATCATGAATAATGCCTATCAATAGTTCTAACAGCCCATCGTGATGTCTTCCATTGTTGGTTTTGTTCTACAAACTTTCCAAAACCCAAAGATATTCAATTTACAATAATATAGAAGATCAGCACATTTGAGAGTTTTTGTTTGCTAAAGGGCATGGGGGAAAAAAAGCAAACCACATCAGTTCAAGCACTAAAACCACTACATTGCTTGTAATTGAATATTATTTTATGGTGGAAAAGATAATCCACTGACATGAAGATATAGGCAGTGATAAACAAAACAGTCCTCTCTGTTTCCTGCTGAATTTGTATTGATGTTGCCATGATGATGCTTGTATAACATTTATACTAACTCTTAAACAGACGGTACACTCGAAATGTTTCATATTCTTCATTTTCAGACCTATTTGGAGTGTACTGTCCCTTTTAATCAAAGAATACATGTCAGTAGAAACGCAGCACCTTTGCAATCAGTCAAACTTAGAAACATTTTCTTCTTAGTCAATTAATATACATATAAAAACTTTGAGCTCAGTAAATGTTATAGCCACTTAACTGTACTTCTGGATATTATGCAAAAATAGATAACAAAGCAGCTTTAATAAAGTTCTTGGAACGGTTCTTTAGTGAAACCTGCCATGCTGTGAGTGGGGTGCTGTTTACCACCCAGAAAAAAAACACACTTCTACATTCCTCTTGTTTTTGAACGCCGATCATGTTTGTCTTGTGGAAGCTCTGTACAGATTATTCTCTCAGCTCTTTAACTCACGATAAAAACATTTTTTTTATCAGCATCAACATCCAATCACAGTAAATAAAAACAGCAGCAGGTACAAGGTGATTCTGAATGATGTTAACATCCATGTAAATGTTTTTTTACCATGTTGTATGTTGTAATAACCAATGGCAGTACTTCCCTTTCCATATTGTTGTGCACATCTTTTTACTTTGAATGTTGTCAGACACTTTGTTTTTTCTTCTTCCAAGAAATTGTTCTAATAAAATAAGCAGCAATGGAAATAAGTGGATTGGTTTTCTTTGACATTTTAGGAAGAAGTGAGTTTCAATTCAGCTCTCTTTTGAATCTCCCTGTGAGGTAACGTAGTATTAATTCATGAGTAAAATGCCTTCAACAAGTGTCCTAAAGAAGTACCTTAATTATGCTTGAATGAATTTCAATAAAATAACAAGCTAAACAAAGCCAAATGTCCACAAAGATGCAGATTGTACACCATATTTATTCATTCTTAAATTCATAGTAATATAAACATATTAAAATCAGCGACATTTTTTTTTTACAGTCAGTCTTCTACAGGAAATATGTACAGTCTCTTAACATGCTACTTTTTCAATTATGTACAACTTTAGTCTCTCACATGTTAACTTACTTTTCAGGTTTATGCAGAAAGAAAAATATTTTCACCTGGAAATATTATATATCTAATGATTTGTGAAAAAAAACCTTGGTTTAATATTGTATTAATGTGAATGTTGTTATATAATGTTATTATATAATATGATTGTTTTCAGTGATTTCATATCGAAGGTAACAGAGATCATTATAGCCAGAAATCTCATTGCAACTCTCACATGTTTTCTTTCTATCTAAGCAACGTACAGAGATGTGCATTTTGTAGGGAAATTTCCTTCCTCCGTTTATAAAACTACTTTCACATAAATAAATACGGAGGGCATACACATCCTGACATTTTCTTCTGAATATATTTGTCACAAGATGAGCTATTTGTAGTTTGATGCGGCAAAATGATGTTCTCCATTAACTGGAATGTCAGAGTAGAAATAAAACAAGTGCCTTATCAGGGAAAAAGCATTAAAAGCCTCAGTTTAAGCTCCTTGTGTCTGCTCTTTTCTCAGGAATCAGTAACTCCCTTTAAAAAGATTGTTTTAAAGATAAGCTGTGACAAAGCCGCATATCTTTCCATTTCATGAAGGATTCAAGTTCCAAGGATTTAAACCTTGTGTTGTGTTCAAAAGCGTTGACCAGGTGCATGTTGCGAAAAATTATTGTTACAATTGATAAAGGGGGTGGGCCACCAAATTATACACTCTTTTTTTTAGAGACCTTCAGACTTGGCAAAAATGGTCATAATCAGTTTTGTAGTGTTTGTATAGCTGTTGTGGAGGATATCATGAAGCTGTGTTCCGATAAAAGAAACTAGAGCGTAGTTATGATATCATTTTAACTTGAAACGGGTCACGGGAGACCAGAACACAACATAAGGGTTAAGTGAACTTTGGATATTGCCTGCATCTCTTGATCATGGCAACGGCAAGAGTAATTCAAATGTAATAATGATGATCTTGATCCGGGTATGTTTTAGATTATGCCTGCATGTGTATCTTAGAATGTGAGGTGTCTATGAGCTATGAGTCATTGAGTGAAATTGAAGCCTTTAAACTAGAGTAAAACGACAGACTTTTGTGAAATATTTAACAAATTAAGAGCCTAATCAACATCTGACATCAGGTTCGGCTGCTGAGTCTTTGTATGGAGATTTTAAAGTGTATCCTCTTCATCACTCGCTGATCAACTTCCTGCCTCGTCACAGTTTGCTCCTCTTCTTCTCTTTGTTTCCTGTCCTCCTGATGCTCGACTGAAGTCCAAAGTGCATTTGATGTCAGAGTTTTTGTTCAGGTTGGAGTCAGATTAATGTTTGTGTTTTAGGCGGGGGCTCCAGTTTCCGTGACAACGCAGTGAGGATGAGGTTGAATTTGTTGTAGCGATCTGATTGGTTAACTGAAGCTCCACGGCTCCCCCACAGCAGCCGCAGCTGAAAGTCCGTTTTAAACACCTCCAACAGGTCTTCATCCCATGTCAATCCTGATGGGGATAAAGAATTACATCTTTTAGACATCTCTTATTTTTCTCTTATAATCCACAAACTATATATTTTTCTGTACATGTTTGTGCGTTTTCTTATTTGTACCTTGTAATAACTTGTGTGCGTTGGCTGTGTAGCTGTGTGAGTTGTGTGCCACTTGGCGTGCGGCCTCTAGGTGGCGCAGCATGATGTCACAGCCCTGGTCGCTGGTCTCCCAGAGCTCCGCCCCCTCAGGTGTGATTGACGGGCGCTCCATCAAAGTGAGGAGGGGCAGCAGGAGGGGGACGCAGACCACCGCAGGGGAGGAAGCTGCAGGAGGAGCGAGGTGGATGAAAAATAAGAAGAAAGCCACATTTTATTTTCCATTCATATTTAAAAAAAAACATTCTTGTAACCCTTGAATCTATAAACAAATGTTATAGTATCTCTATCATACTACATTATTCTGCACTTGAGAATTTTTGGGATGAAATCAACACTTGTAGGATAGACATTTAATTAATTGTGCCCTTAAAACATGATGTGATTAACCATAGGGAATACATTTGATTCTAAAAATGTTATAATTAATTCCATTAATTTGTCTTAACTCAAACTTGTATAGCATGTGACAGCTGTCTAAATTGTTAATAATTTGTTTTGATGCTAGTTTTCTCTCCTTTTTTATTGAATCCATGTTTGATGCTGTTTAAGACACCTTGGGCCAATGTGTGTGTGTGTGTGTGTGTGTGTGTGTGTGTGTGTGTGTGTGTGTGTGTGTGTGTGTGTGTGTTTCTGTGTGCATTTCTGTGTGCATTTTTAGTACCTGTGCCCTCATACAGATTATTGTAAAAAGGTTTGAGTATTTTCTCGTAGTTGATGGCGGTCTGTGTGTAGTTCCTTCGTAGAGTTGTCCATGTTTCCTCCAAACGGCTGATCTGCAGAGTGAAAAACAACACAAATCAAGTTTAAAGATTTCCTACAAACAGAAAGACATATTCTTGCAAATAGAAAACAAATGACACAAGAAAGTGAAACATTCTGGCAGGTAATGATTGAGAACTATTTATCCGACACTTTTATTTCATCAATGTCTGTTAAACTTTGAAAGTGTGTGTTTGTGTGTGTGTGTTACCTGTGGCAGATCCAGAGCTTTCATCAGGGCCGTGAAAGCAAACAGGTCGCCCACCGTGTCCTTCAGCTCCACTGCGACCAGGATGATGCGATTTAAGGTGGACGCCCGCTCATCTGCGCTACCCGTACATCCCAGAATATCCACGGCAACACCTATCGCCATGGTGTGGTGCCTGGGAAACCAAGAAGGGGTGGATAATCAACACAAGCCAACAACTATGTGATGTCAATGTATTGTTTTGTTTCTAATTTGATCTCTCAGTGAGTTTTTGGAAGAACGACAGGAAGTAGAATGAATGACCCAGCAGTTATGAATCAATGATATCCTCTTTAGTTTGAGAGCAGGCTGGTTTAACCGAACCAGTTGTTCCCAACCATCTTGGATGGCAACCCTTTAAAAATAAATACATTCCATAAGTGGCAAGAGCCAAAAGTACCCAGTATCTTGAAAAAATACCCCAAAAGGTCAGAAAAACAAACTTGAAAAAATTATTGTGACCTTTCAGATTTAACTTGGGACCCCTTTGAAAGGAGTCACTGGGTTACATTTAAAGGGGTTTCCTGGAAGTGTGTTACTAAATGTGTGCTGCAGTGTGTATGTGTGATGATAGGTGCGTACCTTTCCATCAGGTCCAGCCGCAGCTGTCGACCGTGCGGCAACGTCACCAGCTCCAGACCGGAGGACACGCCCATCTGACCTTTGACCTCTGGAGTCACTCCGACTATCCTCGCAACCTGCAGGAGGAAAAAAGGTCAGTCTCGTTGTATCGTCCTCTTATTCTGTGGCTGCCAGTTTGTGTGTAATACAGTGTAACATTGTGCTCGGCTCAGGGTTGTGATTCTCCTGCGTCATTTTATTGCAACAACTGCAGGATAGAAATCAATTTTCGAGACACATAAAAGGAACATCTGTGTGGAGGAGCAACAATAAACATGTTACGTGTGTGTGTGTGTGTGTTTACCTGGCAGTCGGCCATGAGCAGGTGTCTGGCGATGCTGTGGTGATTGTGGCTGAGCAGCAGCTCCTTGGCTCTCTTCAGCACCACCATCTCCAGCGGTTTGTTCTCCTCCGGCAAAAGTCGAGATCCGAACTCCGAAGGCCGGAACGTGGACTCCGTCTCTTCCACCGGCCGCTGGAAACTGCTCCTCTTTTCTTCCTCCTCCTCCTCCCTCCCTGCGTCCTCCTCCTCTTCCTCGCTGGTGTTTTCCAAAGCAGCGATGGCGTGATGGTAGGAGCTCCTATCCAGCCCTCTCCTCCCTCCCGCATCCTTCTCCTTCTCCTGTCTCCCGCCCTCTCCCTCTCTCCTCAGTCTCTCCACGTAGCTGCAGGGCAGAGGCTGAAGGTAGAGGTCCGACATGGAGTCTGGCTCCTCCCACTGTAGTGGGCTGCAGGACCTCGGTTCTGCGGGACTGGGCTGCAGGCGCTCAGTCCATCCTGCGTTTGTCTCTGAATCTGAGTACTGTTCAGCGGGGGAGAGGAGAGAACTGGAGGAGCTGTAGGAGTCTGCAGGGTGGAGCTGTTGGAGGAACTTCAGGGGTTTCACTGGAGGAACAGGAGGGCCTGTGGTGGCTGTGGGGAACCAACAACAGTACTTCATTTATTTCCATTTGGTTTTTAAGAGGGGAAAGTTGACATTTATATATAGATCTCTTTACTCCACAGTCAATGTATCAATTATATAGGTATCAAAATAGAATATGCACATCCAGAGCAATTAAAAAAGGTAATCTTGATATAGAAAATTCAACTGACTGAAAGCAACTTGTAACCTTTCCTAAAATAAATTAGGTCGAATAACTTGGATAATGAAAACAGTTCATTTATTAAAACCGAAATTAATAGTATAGCAATGTTTGATCAATTGAAGTATTTTGGAACTCTGTTTCACACTACTATGTACGAGTGTGCCTCTTCATGTAGGACTATCTTTTCCTGATACGTTTAAAAGTCTCTCCTTACACACCGTGACTGACCTACTGTGGATGCATTTTACAAGAAATAAAGTTACCTCCGCTCCTCCATGTAGAACCATGAGTATCCACACCTGTGGAGTCCAGGGAAGGTGCAGCCAGCCTGGGGGAGGTGGAGGAGGCGTCTGTGAGGCTGGAGGAGATGGGGGGGGGCGCCAGAGGCTGCAGGGCGGGGGAGCGGGGCAGCCGGGCCAGGGGCACCTTGCTGGGCTTTGGAGGAGGTTTGGGACACAGCTGGCTATCTGAGCCCCGGATGGCCTGGCCTGTAAACACCAAATGATTGATCAGATATTTCTGCAACCAAATGTAATCAATCAAGGCAGTAATCCTCTGTGTCTGTGTTAGAGACATTTGTTATTTCATTTTTTGTGCCATGTACAACCAGTTTTTATATTATTCACTTTACTCTATTTGCCAAATTTGAATCAAACAACCAAAAAGTGCATGGAAGCATATGAGGACAGGGTTACATTTCATTTCCTATTTCCATACAAACAATGGCAGGAGCAAATAAGGATAGATTACACTGTGTGTGTGTGTGTGTGTGTGTGTGTGTGTGTGTCTGTCTGTCTGTCTGTCTGTCTGTCTGTCTGTCTGTCTGTGTGTGTGTGTGTGTGTGTGTGTGTGTGTGTGTGGTAGACAGGTCTCAGTTGGTTTGGTGTGTGTATGTTTTGGTTTTACAACAGATAAGACATGCTGTTTGGACTTCATCAAATGTTGTAAAAGGAACAACAGAGCTGTTGCTCTTTCCTTGGTACTGAATGTGGAGCGGTTAAGAAGCAAAGGGTTAATGTTTTTATCTAAAAAAAACTATATGTAATGCATTTGATCCTGGCCAATAAGTGGATCATACAAATGATACCAATAAGCAGATTGACAGATGCTCTTTAGGTTGCTGAACATTTTTAAGGTTGTTTTTTTTTGATAGTTTTTAAACAGATTTGTTTAACATTGGATTGTATCCCCCTACTGACCTGGCAGACACTCTGCAGACCTCCGTGGGACTGAGGGGCTCAGCACCGGCTCACTGCCCGTCCGAAACACTGGAGACTTGGGGTTGGGGCCCGGGAGCAGAGGGTCAGGAGGCTGGGGTATGGATCCTGGAGAAGTAGAGGAGGTTCCGGGAAGAAGAGGATAAAGGTAAAAGGTCAGAAAACAGAAAAGAATCCAAATATTGTTCTGTGTGTTGACATGAACTTCGTCTAAAGCATACGAAGGTCACATTTTACTTTCACTTACCGAGAGGCAGGTAGCTTTCTGATTGGTGTGCCTTCAGTGGGCGTCGCCTCTCTGGGACCTGATTTAGACTCGCTGGTTGGCTGCCACAGCGATCCTTCAACCTGAGTAGGGAAAGGGAACGCCAAAAAAAATCAAAGCTATTCCAAAGAAAGGTTTAGGAATAAAGAAATAGCCATATCATTGAAAAGGAAGCAAAGAAAGAAGACCTTGACATAAAAAATGAATTGTTCTTTTCCTTTCTCTTTGTTTTTCTTTCTACCTTGTTTTACTTTCGGTCTCTTTACTCAGACAGACATTGAGTCATTACATTAAGCTCAGTGTACTCGTGAAATAACACACTTCTGATCCTTATAGCAGAAAAGTCATACACCATGTCTTTATTTATAGAGGGCTTTTGATACATATGGAACATGTCCTATATACAGCCCACTTCCTGGATAAAGAATGTAAACAGAACAAGGGTACATGTTAAATGTCCAAAAGCAGGAAGGGGTTTAAGGGGTTTATTTAAGTCTTTGCTTGTATAGAAAGAAAACAGAGAGAAAAGATGACTTTAGTAAAGGTAAGTGTACATTAATCAAATATAGCAGACAGTATGTTAGTTGGTCTGCAGCCTACTACCCACTTTAAATATTAGGTTTGTGTTACTTGGAACTCAGGGATTTTTTGCCAAATCCAACCAATTACACATGTTCTGTAGGTGATCATCTAAACAAAACTAACACACATCAATCATGCCACAATCAATGTGTTTTTCTTCCAGGTGTGTACCAACCTGAGCTGGCTGCCTCGGCTTGTGCCGTTGTCCCGGCAGTGTGTGCTGTCCTGCGTGGTGCGTGCACTGTCCTGTGTGTGTCCGTTAGTGATGTTGAGGCTGAGGCGCTTCTGGTTACGTTTCTCCTGCGATATGATCGTCCCTCTGTGATGGCTGGACAACCCGTACTTCTCCTCCAAACAGCGCAGCGGCAGCGCTCTGTTGATTGGCTGGAAAATAATGGCTCCAACCACCTTAAATGCAGGGAAAGAAGAAGACACAAAGTAAACTCAAGTTGTTTTTTTATTCTTTTTATGAAAGTAGAGTATTACATTGCTTACATTGTACATTTCCTTTCCGATCATGACTTCATCTTTGGATGGCATATGACACCCAGTCTATGTAACCATTAGAAGGTAGTACCAGAGGTGGGAGAAGTACTCAGATTGTGTACTTAAATAAAAGTTCCAAAGTTCCACAAGTACCAAAGTGTAGGAATACTTTGTGACAAGTAAATGTCCTGCATTCGAAATGTTTCTCAAGTAAAAGTATTACCATCAAAGTATTACCATCAAAATATATAAAAAGTACTCATTATGCCAACTGTCCCTTTTCAGAATAATATATATTATATGTTGTCATTATAATTATTGATGCACTGAAGTGCTAACAAAGCTGGTAAAGGTGCAGCTAGTTTTAATTATGTATGGTAGCTGGTGAATTTACTCCAGGCGTAACTAAAGTCTGATTTAAGTGTTGATTATATTTCACAACATTAATCTAAATCTGCAAAGTATAGGAAAGTATTAAATACATGTAGTGGAGTACACAATTTACCCCTGAATTGTAGTGGAAAAATGTAAATACTTAAGTAAAGTACAAGTCTCTCAAAATGTTACTTAAGTACAGTACATGAGTAAATGTACAGAGTTACTTTACACCACTGGGTAGTACATGTAACGTTGTACTGTGTCAAATAACTATTGAATATGTTTTCCATTACAAGAGTACATGTTTAAAATACTTGATGGAACCCACCTCGGAGACAGACTTCCTGTTGCCAACATAGTATCTTATGAGTGCAGGGATGTTGTCGAACCCCTCCCTCTCCAGCCGGTACTCCACCCTAGAATAGGCTTCGTTCAACATTACCACCTGAAGGTGAGATGTTCAAATGTGATTCATTTATTAGTTAGTATTCTGTGGATTTACAACTTTTTATTAACACATAAGATAACCTTTGCGTATTTTATATGAAATCATACACATGGCTTTACCTTCTTGTTGATTTTAAAGTGCTGGGCAGAATTTCGCCACTGGCAGGTGAGGACATAACTTCCTGGGCTTGACAGCGAATCACGCATCAGGAAGTCTCCGTCACGCTGAACCAAGTTTTCTGCAACCTGGAAGAATGCAATAGATTACATATGGCATTGGACACACACACACACACACACACACACACACACACACACACACACACACACACACACACACACACACACACACACACACACACACACACACACACACACACACACACACATACACATACACACTCACAGACACACGCACACACACACACGCACGCTGGCATACATTGTTTGTTTATGTTCAAAACACTTGATTAGATCTAATAAGGGTTGGATGTTATACTGTAACCTTCTTTATGAGCTCTGCATTGGTTACATACAAACTGAAGTTATTTAGGCCTCAACTTACTAAACAATATTTACATTAAAGTTTTTGAATTTCTTAACTTCGTTTAATTTATTATGGCAATAAACTTGAGCCGCAGCCCTCAAAGCAAACACAAAACCTTACACAAGTCTAATTGCAAAAGATTAAAAAAGTCATTCACATGATTCATTTACTGCATCTCTCACTCACACACACACACACACACACACACACACACACACACACACACACACACACACACACACACACACACACACACACACACACACACTAACAGACTTTAATTAAGGAAGTGTTTGTATAGTATATAATGGTAGTTTAGTTTAGCCAAAGGAAGCAGCTTATTAAAAATGATTACATCTCAGAGCTGGCTTTCAGGGGGAACACACAATCTGTCTCTTACACACACACACACACACACACACACACACACACACACACACACACACACACACACACACACACACACACACACACACAGCAACAGACTGAGCCTTTTATATACTGACCTTATGTTATAACCCCGGCTCTGCTGCTGAGGCCACTATTTAAGTTATAATCTTTCTGTAAGCACTGTGTGCGCAGTATGGCAGACTAATAATAGGCGATCAGGTTCAACAAGTTTTTAACCGGGCTTTTAAAGGGAGGGACTCGTGACTCAGATTTGTGAGTGTGTGTGTGTGTGTGTGTGTGTGTGTGTGTGTGTGTGTGTGTGTGTGTGTGTGTGTGTGTGTGTGTTACCTGTCTGGGTATCGCTCCGTGGTACCATGCGTGACTTCTCGGCTCCTCGCAGTTCATCTTTAGTTCTTCCTCCAGCTCTCTGCGAAGTTTCTCCGAAGGACAGTCCACGATGAACTGATCCCTGGAAAACTGTTGTGAAAAAATAAATACAAAAAACAGAACTTAATTTAGTGGCAGATCTCCATAGAAAAACACACATACACATGGGTCATAGTATTTATTCATCTGTCCAAAGCTTGGATAAGCTTATTTCGAAATTGTCAAATATAGACAATGCATTTAGGTGGTTGTAGCTGACGCATGAAAATATCATAAAGCATCAACAGTTCCTCATTCAATGAAACAAACAGTGATGAAGCCAAAGCTCCAAGGCACAGCAATAACAAAAAGTACTTATTGTATACCAGTGACCATGGAAAAATGAAAAATAATTTGAAAGTGGGATGAAAAGTGAAATTAAAAGTAAATATGTACTTGTGTACATATATATGTACACACAGTAAATCACTGTGTATCAGTGGTTTCCAACATGTTTTGCACTCCAACAACTTAAAATGTGCAGAGATTTTGAATTTTATTTGTTGATAAAAGACACATATTAACAACTGTAACTGTCACTTTTCTTTGCTTTAAAATCCTCTTATTTTCCCTTAGATGTGTCAAGTTTGTTGCAGCAGCAACAACCAGGCAACAACAATAATTTAGTCTCAACGCTAAAGCCAAAGCTACAGCTAATGTTCAGCACCAGAAACCAGAAGATTTTTGAAAAAGAAAGATATTTTACTGTGTAGCCCAACATGACTCATTATTTTACATTCTGTGAATCCGAAAACATATCCTTAAAACCTAATAGATTGGAGGTAAGGTAACCTAAGACAGATAGAGTAAAACAAGCTAAGGTACAAAGACAGGCAGCATTAATAGTTCTAAATTATTTAGAAAACTGTCAGACTTTCACACGATCTACAGTTTAATACTGACAGTGAACACAGAAAGTTAAGAGAACTGAAAAGTGACAGAACAATCTGGTAACATGCTGACAGGTTGCAGTGCCAACACACACACACACACACACACACACACACACACACACACACACACACACACACACACACACACACACACACACACACACACACACACACACACACACACACACACACACACACACACACACACACACACACACACACACACACACACACACACACTTACGTGACAGCTGCTCGGTCTCTGCATGTCTTCCTTTGCCTCCTATCCTCAAATACAAACTTCATATCAAACTCATACAAGCTTCATATTTTAGAATCACACAGCTCACTTTCAAACACACACAACATTTCTCCGACAACATGCTCACACACACTTTCTCTCTGTCTTCTGTGATTTTCTCTTCTTGGCTTTCCATGCACCCAACCGCCCGGACCTGCCTCCGTACACACCCTCACCTGACGTACATAAACACACTCACACCACACACACAGTCTCAGGTGATGCAAACACTTCCTTGAAATTGCCCCTGGGACTTAACAGTGAGTCGTTAAGTTAAATGTACTGTATAACTTGTATTGGCTTTTTTTCTGAAGTCAGTTTGTTCCATTATGTAAACAGATATATATATATATATATATATATTTGTGACACATATTGACATATATTTTTTACTTTTAAAAAACGTTTTTAAGCGTCCAGATACCTAAACAACATAATATATAGTTTTCCAAGACTCTAAAAAAATTAATATATAAATAAATGTTTTAAAAAGCAGCAACATTTTAATTGATAGCCAAAGAGCTCAAGGGAAACTGGAAGATGGTTTTAATGTAGGTGCACAGTTTCATGGTGTATGCTTTTTACAGGTCCACATGCTGGTGCAAAGAGACCTTTCAAATAGTCTCAGAGGACGCTGAATGTCAACGCCTCAAAGATCCTCTGAAGAAGAGTTTGATCCAAGCCTCCGTAATAACTTACGTTATAGCATACATTATTACGAAGTTAATTACGAATTCAATAAATTGTGGTGGAGTCGTATAAATACGGGCGTTCGACCCTCCCAGGCGGACTTCCTACCTTCGTAGGGACTTCTAGTCAGCATCTGAGCAGGTCAGGTTCGAGATGGGACCGACTCAGCAGCACACCCAAACGTAAGAGAGAGAACGA